CTTAATTTCCAGATTTGACTTCTAAAGATATTCTGGAAACTGGTAAATTACCCAAGAAAACTAAAGACTTGAGTGGAAGTCATGATGGAGGGCATTTACTTTGAGAGGCTATACGTGTGTGTGTGTGTGTGTGTGTGTGTGTGTGTGTGCATGTGTGCTTGTGTGCATGCATGCACTAGGAATCTAACCCAGAGCCTTGCACATGCTAGGTGTCAGGTTCAAAAGAAACCCAAAACAAATGGCTAACTGTAATGGACGCAGGCTTCTAGGCTCACTCAACACCTGAATACTCACTCAACTCTTCTCACCCACCCCCTACCCTAAACCTCTCCAACCCATAGGGAGCCAACCCTAACCCTAACCCTCCCCCAGCTTCTGATTCCTATATAATCCTGCCATTTAGGCCCTGTGCCCTTTGGTCCTCTCTGTTCTCTTTCCTTTGGTTTTCTCTCTGTCTCCTTTGCTCCCGTTCTCTTCCTCTCTCGCTCTCCCCTTTTCTCCTCTTTTTGTCCTTGCCCCCCACCCCTGCCACGGTCCAGTTCAGTCTGCTGGTCATTTTCAGACTACTACTTTCTTGCTCTGTACTCTTCCGGATACTCTGATTGTTCTCTCTCCATATCTACAATTAAAAATGTCACCTCAGTTCCACCTTGGAGCTGTTATGTCCTCATCAGGCAAACCTTCTACCACAAAGCTACACAGAAAGTTTGTTGGCAGTCTTAATCTACCAGTATTGATTAATATTTCCATGTTATTGTCTGGAAAATATGCAATTCTAATTTAACTGCTTGATTTTAAATGTTGTTTTTTCCTTGGATGTGCTAAGAGACTAGGTTTCTATATGCAAGAGTTATCATACGCCTTTTAAAATTTTGTTTGCTCAGGTATTATATTTCATGCTAAGGTCAAATATGATTCTTTCTTAGTTACTTCATTCCAACCATGTCTCCAAGGGGTTGTTGTCAAGGATTCTGGGGGATTGTTTTCAAGACCACTTTCCAAGTGCCAGGAAGCATTTGCTGGAGGACAAGCACGGGCTAATTTAAAAGGCTAGAGGTCAAAGCAACATTAATGACTATGTTTGTCTTCCCTGTGTTACTTACAGGGCTTTTCTAAAAAAAAAAAAAAATCACACAAGTGTCAAGCTGTGTTTTGGTCGAGTTAAAAAATAAATAATCTGGAGTTGCAGAAATCTATTTACACTGGCTTACTTCCAAGAAGACGAGAACAATGGAATTATGTATTCACTAGCAGAAGTGACACCAGTGTTAAGCCAGGTGATTTCCACAGGGAACTAAGAAATATGGAGAAAATAACCCTGACTTCCCATAGCCCTGATGGTTTAACACAAGGTTCCAGGTTTCTGTGCACTTCCTGCCCATAGTGACAGTAGCTTTACCTTGCCTGTGCAGACAGACAGACTGCATACAAGTCAAGAAGGACTTACTGTACTATGAGATATGAGAATGAGTTTCTGGACCAGCAAAGTGATAGTTTGGGCATTCTGTGTGTGGGCTTTGGGACAAAAGAAACCTACTTAGTAAGCCTGGCTATGTCATGTCATTTATTAGCCATGTAATGGGGGGCAAGTTTCTTAACTTGTCTTTCTGCCTCACACTGTCTGTAAGAGGGAGAGGGGAATGATTGGGCCAATCATAGATCTTGACAGAGGAAGTCAAATGAAACAATCTGTTTATACATGGAAACAAATGACACATGCCTTTAATACACAGGCCTTTGACAACCATTTAAGATGCAAACTGTAGTTCTCAGTCTCTAGTTTTGTCAGTTAAAGAGCAGCCAATGACCAACTTGTGCCATGTACCTCGTGGCAGAGGGGCAGCTGCTCTCTTTGAAGACGTGGCAGTAACAGCACCCACATCTTTATAGCTAACAAAAATTCCCATGCCAAATTGAACAAAAGGCCCAATACTGGGAAATTCTTCGTGTGTGTACCTAAGTCAACCCAGATGTTAGGTGATAGTGGCTTTATCCATAGATGAATACATTTAAAATTTTGTTTGTTATCATCTACTCCATCAGGGGTTCTCTCCATCTCTCCATTTCGGTTAGTGTGGCCATTGTTATGATCATTTATTAACATTTTAATTCCCTCTTTCCTGTAGATACGAAGAGGCTGAACTTCTGCACTTCTCCCCAACTTGAGGTTAGTCACATTCATACAGTTTGATTTGGCAAAGGAAACGTGAGAGGAAATGGTGATTCACAGCTCATTTCCTCAGCTTTGATCACCACGGAAACGGTGTCGAGATGGAATCTATACTAGCCAACTCTGCCAATGGGTAGGGGCCCTCTATTGTGGCTGAGGAACAAAATGCCTTGACCAACGAGACTTTGGGGATGTTTATTATTGAAGCAGAAGCTGACCTATCCTGACTAGTGTAAGTAGAGTAGAGAAAGGCATTTTTCTAGTGGGTGAAAATGGATTCTAAAGTAGCCTGGTAAAACACTGAACAAGTTAACAGTCCGATGCTTACAAACAGGTAGGCTTCAAAGACAAAAGCGGTCCACAAACACAATGGCAGGAAAAGAAAACCCTTTGGAAGCTACATCTTAAAGGTTCCTTGACCCCTCTGGCTCCTACAATCCCTCCTCCTTCTCTTTAACAGGAGTCCCTGAGCTCAGCCCAATGTTCCGTTGTGGGTCTGTGTTGGGAGCTGTGAACCCAGATCCTGAATTTCTTGTAATCAACTTGTTTTCCCCCAATCTGAGTGCCTACAGCTGCTCTGAGCACGAGACCCTTAGGAGTCCCTGATGGCAGGAGAGTGGTTTCTGGTGGGTTTGGCTGGGGGCATGGCTATCAGTTAAGGATCCATATATAAGCTGCCCCGGAACACAATAAGGGGGGCATTCTTGGGGCATTCGGCATCAAGGATGACCTGTGTCTCTGTCTCTGTGTCTTTGTGTGTGTCAGTCTCCAGCCCCTTGCCCGGTTCATGAACTGTATGCTGAGTGGTGTCAGGTCTGCATCTGTTTCCACCAATTATTGGATGAAGACTTGCTGGTGACAATTGGGGTGGTCACCAAGTAGAGCAGAATATCGTTGGGCATCATTACATTAACATTTTGTGTTCTCCAATTGCATTTGGTCCTATCCTAGGTCTCTGGGCCGTCCAGCCTCTGGGTCCTGGCACTCTAGGCAGTGCCAGGGGTGGACTCACTCTGGTGGCATGGGTCTTAGGCTGGATCAGTCATTGGTCAGCTACTCCTACAATCTCCATGCCACCCTTACCCCAGCACATCCCACAGGCAGGACAGACTAGGTCAAAGGTTGTGTGGTTGGGTGGGCAATCCCTCTCTACTGGAAGTCTTGCCTGCTCACCGGTGATGGCCAGTTCAGGCTATGCACCCACCATGGCTAAGAGTCTTCGCTGGGGTCATCCTTGTGGATGCCTGGGAATTTCCCTAGCACCAGGTTTCCACCTCGACCCTGAAATGCTCCCCCTTTCCAGTCATCTCTTTCAGTTTTCTCTGCCTCCATCCATCCCCCCTGAACCTGATTCCTCATGTTTCTGTCCTCACCTGCCCCCAGTGCACCCATGAAATCTCTTCTATCTCACTTTCCCAGGGAACGCCACGTATCCCCGCTGAGGCCTGCACCTTTCTGAACAGAAACAGAGGAGTGGATGGGGGAAGGGAGAGGCGGGGGTGGGGATGGGTGGAGGGGAAAGGGAGGAGAGGGGAAAACCGTGGTTGGGATGTAAAATAAATAAATAAATAAAATTAAAAGAAAAGGTTCCTCTGTAAGATAGGGCATTTGCTTTCCCTCAGCTTCTGCTCAGTATATGAGGTTGAGCCATCTGCTTTCTCTTTCACAGCCTCAAGCACAACCATCAGGGACTGGACGCATTCGCCCTCACCACTTCTAACCACTCCTGCCCCTGACAACACCCTCTTTACATCTCTACTCTCTAGTGGGGGGAGGCAGAGTGTGAGGGTCTATCTTGTGTTTTGTAATAGCCCGCGAGAAGAAGGCTCCATATCATAACAGCAGTGTCTTTTCTCACGAGAGAATAACCCTAATATAAAGTAGCAAACGTTACACATGACGCGGTTCCAAACTCTGCAGACTCTGCAATAACGTGGAGTGACTGTCGCCTCAAGTGACTTTGGGCAAGGCCTCCAGCTACACCACCTTCTCAGTGAAAGAGGTAGTTGTTTAGGGGGAAGCTCTGCCTCAGCTCCCCTCCTCCCTTCTCCTAACTCCGCCCCTCAGAAAGCCTGCCAAAGGGCAACTTCTCCTCCTGAGATGCTCAAGACCACACCTCCAGGGTATTTAAGGCCTGGGTCCTGGACTTGCCCTGTGATTTCTTCTCCTCCCATTTCTGAGAGTCACCTGGGAGCGCCCTGCTTTGCTTTGCTCTGTTGATTAAACCTGATCTTATTAATTTTGCTTGATTTGGCTGATTGCATTGGCAGAGGGACCCCAAAACCAGGAATTTTCAAAATACTTAACAGTAGTCTTCCAGAAACTTTGCTAAGCCTCAACTTTGGGAAGGCCTAGAAGGCATAAAAAAAAAGCATTATTTTGAAACAGAAAAGAGTTCTTAACATGCACAATATTTGAGGAACGGTGGGAAATTCAGTCAGGCCAGGAAGCACACCCTGCTAGCTCCCATGACCCTTCTTATTATTGGGGCATCAGATGTGGCTGAAAACAACAGAAGGTGGAAATAATTAAATAACAGAGACAAAACACATACGCTGTCAAGTGACCTGGGTCTTAGCCCAGAGCTGACACTCTCAGAAAATATTTTGCAGAAGACTGTGCATTTCCTAGCCATACCCTGTGACTACGATAGGAAATTAGTCCTGGATTTTAATTAAGCTTTGTCGGGCTGAGGCAGGATGGATATAAATGTGGAGAGTAAGCCTAGGGTTTACTTTTCTCAATTTTTTTTATTCAGCAAAGCATACACTTAAAAAATACATAAAATCATCTAACAAGCAAAAACAAAACAAAACAAAAAACCCAAACCCCAAAACAACCCAGAAAAAAACAGCAAACATGCCATACACATGAATGAAACATACTGAATCTTCCTGCCAGTGATGTATTTTGTTTCTGAATTACAGTGTGTAGGGGGCTCACAGGAACTCACAGACTTGGTGGTGTTTGCACACCCGAAGATTTTAAGTGCGTATTTAGGAAGGATGTTTATTTGAAATAAGGAATCTTGAATTATAAAACTGTGAATGGCTTGTAGAACAATACAGCTAACTAAATTAAGACTTTGCTCATATAAACTAGAGTAATCTCACCCGCAGAAGTTGAAAAATATAGATCTTCTAGATTTCCACAGGGCGCGACCCCAGTCAGTTTTCATCGTGGGTGGGACTGGCAGACGGCTTGCTCTCTTCACCTGGTGGGCCGTGACCCCGCTGGCTTGGAATGGCTGGAAGTACTCGGTTTGTTCTCAGGGGTTCTCCAGACAGAACTGGGTTGGAGAAGGGTCAGGGGATAGAATGAAAGATACTGAAGATTTGCTTCTCCCAGAGGCTCCTACAGGATGGATAGCGCAGGAGAAACCTGCGCTTTCTCAAGGAGCGGAAGCACATTCTAAGAAGCCTGTGCTGGTGGGAGCTGGACTAAGGAGAAAACCTGTGTGTTCATATTTAACCAGGCCTACTACACATCAGGGATTTGAAAAATGCACAAACAGGATTGCGACAGCTCAGACTCCACGTGATCTGGCTGTGCGTGCCTGGCAGGGCACTTGGCGCTGGAGCAGCTCAGCACGCTGCTCTGGGCGAGCCTGGAGACCTTAGCTCTGATGCAAACCTCCAAAGGCTCTCGGGTTTCTTTTAGAAAGAGTTCAGCTTGTTCGATTTTTTTCTGCGTTCAGCGAAACTGATTAGAGATCTTTGTCTTGTCGCCCTGAATTTTAACTGAGAAGGCCTCTCTGGCTTCACCAGGCTACATTCGAGGTCAAGGAGCTGACTGAAAGCGAGTGCTGCCTGGGGCTTCTCTGGGACACCACTCAGAATCCTCTGTTGGCACTAATCAGTAAGGGCAGAGGCTCAGCCTGTCACGGAGGGATCCCGGCTCTCTACCTCTGCCTCTCTGACTTTGGGCAAATGGCTCCAGCTCTGAGTTGGCATCACTATGAAAAGGTGACATTGTACCACGACCCCATAGTTCACTGTCTTGACTCAGAGTCCTAGAACTCTTGGTTGGCCTCGTTCAGACTCTAGCCTAGGGAACAGGGGGCGCCTTGCCTACTCACTCTGTGTAAATAAATACGCCAAGTGTCTTAGGCAGGTAAGTCTGTTGTCTCATTTAATCCTCTGACGGTCTCATCATGATCGCGTTGTTATTGCAGCTACAGAGGGGAAAGGTTTAGGAACTTGTCTGGAATTGGTAGGGCAGTTCTAAAGTGATCTAACTCACAGTTGAATGTGGAGGGGTTGTGAGTGTGTATGTGTGTGTGTTAAACACGGTAGGATTGTGTACAAAGAAGAAACTAAGTTGACTTGTTTCACGAGGCAGCTAATTCTCTTTTATGATTGTTTTAGATAGTATCTATATTGCTCAGGCTGTACGCGTATGCACAGCTATGTAGCACAGGCTGGCCTCACGCTCTGTCGCCTTGCTTCGGCCTTTTGAGCACTACCACTGCAGGCGTGAGGCACTATTCGTGGCCTCTGGCTCTGCTCCCCGTTGTGCTAGGTGCTACCGTAGTGATGCTGGGGAGTCCTTTCCGGATTTAGTTTTCATGCCTGTCTAATGGGAGTAGTGATAAAACCCGCCTCCTAATATGGATGTAAAGATATATAAACTCATAATTTCTGGATGTTAGATCACTATAATAAGCATATCAGGTGATATTTAGGCTCATCCAGTTTGAAGATTTCTGGTCTAAGACAGTATGCTTTATGTTACAAGAGTTTTAGATAAAATAGCGTGAGTATAAGTCAATAAAGCTGACTAAAGAAACTAAGCATGTTGGAACAGACTGGTTGGTAAATCTACATCTGGGAGGCTGAAGTAGGAGGACTGAGAATTTAAGGCCACATTGGGCTATACAGTGAGACCGTGCCTCAAACAAAGCAGAACCAAGCCCCAACAAACCAAGCACTTCCTTTCTTCTTAGCAATGTTTGCTCTGCAAGTAAATAGTTTCCAGGTCTCACCCAGCAAAGAACTCAGTCACATTCAGACCCCCCTCCCTTCCTGAGCCTTGTCTCTTGTAGCAGAGGCTTGGCTCCAGATTCCATCATTAGACACCCAAGACTAGACTTGAACTGCTGATCGTCCTGAGAGCTGGCATTAAAGCCACGCCCCAACAGACCCAGCTGAAGGTCCATTCTTAAAGACATTAAATAATACATAGCTAAACAAACTTCCACTATTGTGTTTGCATTTCAAACAAAATTCCCTGAGGGGAGAAAAGGTTTTCTTTTTTAAGTAGGCGTTACTAATTTCCAGGACCTTTCAGGGATGTTCTCTGTGCACAAGTATTGGCACCTGACACTCTTGAACAAATAGAAAGGCAGTGAAGTGCTGCTGTGTTTGTCTAGACGTGTTAATGCTTGTGGAGAATGCACGGGGGGGGGCGGTGAGGGGGGGTGCGAGTACTTACATTTTTGGTCCGGCAGAGGTGCAAGGCTGTTCCGAGTGAGAGGGAGATCCCTGAATTTAGGTCTGTTTGGGGAGAGATGCTGCAGAGTTTGTCCTGGGAACAAAACACATTCGTATCACTCATTTGAGACTCAACCGAAAGCAAATCATAAAGCCCAGTGGAGAAGAGAGGCGTCAGAGTTGTTGAAGGTCCCGTAAAGTAACACACACAATGGCAATAATAATGGCCACGCCCTATTAACGTCACTCACGCCTTAAATGAGAAGGCATTAAACAAAACGTTTTGTTAAATTTACTCACCCATGGGGGTATGTCATGGGGGGGGAGTGGGGTTTTTGTTTTACTTAAAAAAATTTGTGTGTGTGTGTGTGTGTGTGTGCACGCACTCATGTGAGTGTGGAGTTCAGCCCTTTGGGCACTAGCATCCTAGGCATGAGCTATTAAGCTTGGCCTCTGGCTTTGCTCTGGGTTGTGTTATGTGCTACCAAACTAATCTTTCCACCACATAAAAATTCTTCCTCTGCTATCCTAGGGCTAGAACTCAGGTCAGGAGACGAGGTGACAGAGCATCCTTACCCACTGAGCCCTCTGGCCACATTCATAAGGCATTTACTGTCATAAGCCAGCACAACAAGTTGCTCTCAAGAGTTAAACTGATAAAATTTGAAGCTGGAAAACTACCAGTCATGTAGATTAGCGATATCACCTATCCTGGCATCTCTTCTGAGTAGGAGCGATGTCTAGGGTATCACTTCCCTAGAACAGTGTTTCTCAACTGCACAGACCGTGAGGTGAGCTTAGGTTAAAGTTACTGCTGTCTTGGCCACACCCTGTTGCAGGATATTTGATCCTACTGTGAACCCTGACATCGCATTAGTTAAACAAGATCAACCATGGAAGAAGCAGAGCCAGTGATTAGTTGACAGGAAGTGGCCATAGAGAGTCAGAGGGAGACAGGGAAACAGAGAAACACGCAGGAAGTAGGAGGGAGGGACTTTGAGTTTGGCAGCCTTTTTGGTTTGGGACTATTGAACAGAACCTCACTTTTTCTGGGACATTGGCTAAGGAGGAAGGTCAGTGGGTAGCTTCTCAGCCTCTCTGAGCTAGCAGGTTTTCAGCCCAGCATCTGACTCCAGAATCTTTATTGGTAAAATGGTAAGATTAGGTTTAGTTTAAAAATAACACCCCAAATGGATTAATCAGAATCTTTGCAAGTGAAGCACCAGGTCTTTGCCTAGTAGTCTAATAAGGGATCTGCCTTCGGCAAAGTCCACTGGGTTCAGGCCTTCCTTTTGTTTGGACAAAGCAATCCTTAGAGTAAGGGACAGGGGAGCATGAGTCAGGACTCTGCCTACTATGCATGGCAGTCACCTAAGCAGTGCTGTATGACAGAAACGGAGCAAAGATTTGTTTATGTGGTTGGTACTTTGCCATTATGTTTCATTCCTTTAACCTTAAAAGTAAAATAACCCCAGGATCCATCATGTTTAGAGAGGAAACATTCTTGAGTAGAATATTTTCAAACCCCGATGGAGTCATGCATGAGAAAAAAATCCATATGACTAGATAGAGCTGGTTATGGATGCTGTTTATTCAGAACCCACTGTTATCAGGATGGCACCAGCTGCTGTAGGCATGGTCTCATTCTGCCTTGACAACTGTTATCTTCCTCATTTGCCAAACGAGGACCCTGAGGCTTGGAGAATTCTAAATATGTTCAAGGACTGAACCTAGGCTCCAGAATACCTGTATCTCACCTTAAAACTTATGTTCTCCTATTTCCCTAGGCAGCAAAGAAATACTGGATGGGAGAGTGGATAGTGATCTGGAAGGTTCCATGCTGGCCTTCTGCTCTGTTCTGAGGGACAGGATGGATCTGTGCATAGCTGAAAGCTCTCTTATGGGTATCTTAGGAACCTTCAGGGAACACACCTTCTGAATGACATTAAATACTAAAGTCAGCAATTACCTGTGTTGTTTAGAGCTCACTTATTCCAGACCTAGTCTGTGTTTACAGGGATCCTGACATCCCCAGAAGTGCTGTGACACTTTATGTCGCTCACCTCCATGGAAAGAGGGGATTGCAATAGTTACTTTATGTGTCTGTGCACAAGGTTTTGGAGGACATTTCAGACCTAAGCCTTACAGAAGGGATGTTCTTGAATCCTGCAGGCCTCGCTTGTTTGTCTGCCCCTCCCTATCCTGCTCTGAGACCTTAGGCAGGTGAGCTAACCTCTAAGAGTCTCCAGGGCTTCATCTAGAAAGTGGGAAACGGGAATAAAAATCTCTCCTCCAGTGTCACTGATGAAAATAAGGAGGAGCCACCGTTATAGGTGTCACCGTGACCTTCAAAGAGTAGATGCATTTTGGCCTGAGACCCTAAGAAAGGCTCTCCTATGTAGCCCAGGCTGACCTCTAACTCAGTGCTGGACAGGTGTGTGCTCCTGTGCTCAACATGGCTCTTAAAATATTGTAGGAATCTGCCACACAGAGAAGATAGGAACTAAACTAATACAGACAAAGGTGTCACGCAATGGGAAGGTGGCAGGGTTTCAAGGAACTGAGAGCTAGTCCGGAACTGATGAGGGGTGGTGCGTGACGGGACTTTGAGATGGGAGGTACCCTGAGAGTGAGACACGGGCTAGTCCACACTGTGAGGGCTGTGTTTGCCTGGTTAGGAATTTGGCTTTTGTCCTGGAAAAGTTGCTGTTGGGCGTAAATGCAGGGGTCACTGGTGCTGACCTACCTGGCCTGAAGAGTGCATAGTTACGGGGATAATCTAGAAAGTTCTTCAGCAAGCTCTTTCTTGAGGGAAACAAGGAAGTGAGCTCTTTCTTTTCTTGTGACGGCCTGTAAATAACCAAGCTAGCAGAAAACACCACAGATCTTTCTGTTCCATTTTCTCTGCACGCTGCTGGCAATGAATTAAGCTGAGGCATGCCAAATTCCAGCTCATTAGGTTGAGTGTTCTTCCTCATCCCTCATGCCGCCCACTGACGGCTCTCAATAAACACTGAGCAAGCTCCAGTACAGATGAATGTTTGGGGAGCAAGCACGGGAGAGCTGATGCCCAGAATTCAGACAGCTGAATCCACTACTCCTATTAGTCTTGCTGAACCTGGCCAGGAGAGAAGAGAGATCCTAAGCTAAAGGGACCATTCAACGAAAGCGGGCGCCACAGAGCTATCCAAGGGCTTCACCACACTAAGGTTGGTCATGGAAACCTGGAAGTTTCATGGAATTTCAACCTGCCCAAAATAATGACTTCAACCACTTTAGCGAACCCTTTTGATTTTTAAGCAAAAATTTATTGCATTTATACAAATATGGATGCATCTATCTATCCATCTATCTGCCATTATTACATTTATACATGTATGGATCTATCTATCTATCTATCTATCTACCTACCAATCATCATTACATTTATACATGTATGGATGCATCTATCTATCTACCAGTCATCTATCTATTATCTATCTGCCAATCATCTATCTGTCTGTCTATCCATCCATCCATCCTTCCATTCATCTATCATCTCTGCCTCTGTCTACCTACTTACCTACCTACCTATGTCTATCTACTTATATGCGTATGTGTACTTGAGTCACAGCTCATGTGCGGAGGTCAGGGGACAACCTGTGGGAGTAGGTTCTCTCCTTCTACCTTGTGGCTTCCAGGAACTGATCTCAGGTCACCAGCCTTGGAGGCAAGCTCCTGTACCTTCTGTGCCATCTCACTGGCCCAGGCCATTTGAATTTAAGGCAAAAGATTCAGTAGTCCTAAAAACAATGTATCAAAGACCCACATTGGAGCACTGGACTGAGCTCCCAAGATCCAGTCAAAGAGTGGAAGGAGAGTATAAGCAAGGAAGACAAGACCATGAGGGGCTCATCCACTGAGATGATTGGTTTAATAAATAAGGTGACTGGCCAATAGCCAAACAGGACAAAGTTAGGTGGAAAAGCCTAACTGAGGAAGATGGGATGAAGAAGGGCAGAATCTGGAGTTGCCAGCCAGATGGAGGAGTAGGAGATGAATGTGCCATACTAATAAAGATACCTCTGCATGGCAGAGTATAAATAAGGAGTATAGACTAACTTAAAATGTAAGAGCTAGTTGGTGATAAGCCTGAGCTATTGGCTGAGCATTTATAGTTAATGTAAGCCTTAGTGTGTTTATTTGAGAGCAGCTTCAGGACAGGAAAACTCTGCCTACAGTATGTGCATGTGATAGTGTTTGTGTGTGTGAATGTATGTGAGTGTGTGTAAGCATGTGTGAGAGTGTGTATGTGAGTGTATATATGTGTGAGTGTGAAAGTGAGTGTGTGCAAGTGTACGTGGCATTAGTTATTTCGTGTGTAGGCTTTTGTATATATATGCATGTGGTAGTCTGAGGTTGTTGTTAATAATCATATTTGATCACTTTTACCTTATTCTTTGAGGCAGGGTCTCTCAATCAAACCCAGAGCTAGCTGATATGGTTAGATTTCCTAGGTAGCTTGCTCATGGTAGTTCCCTGTTTGTTTCTTTCCAAGGCTGTCACACATACCTAGTTTTTACACGATTTCTAGGGATCCACGCTCAGGCTTTCACATTTTCCTATTAAGTACTGAGCCATCTCCCCAGCCTTAAACTCCTTAATCCTAACAGCTACCCATGACCCTGTGAGTTAGGGATTGTCTCCCACTCTGCAGATGAGAAATGCTGTGGGTTTGGGAATTGAAATGTCCTCCAAAGGCTCATGCATGAAGACTTGGCTCTCCATGGAGCTATGTGCAGTGGCTTTGGAGAAGTGACTACTCCGCTGAAGATCCACAATCTGACAAGCTACAGGATGTGATAGGAATTTAGAAGATGAGATGAAATTCAAGGGAGTGGATTATTGGAGCCAGCTGTGCCCTCAGAGACTGCATCTTGACTTTAATACATTTTCCTTATTTCCCTTCCCAGACCTATCTATAAAGTTAGCTCATATCCCCCAGTGTTATGCTAGGGTTGGGAAGGAATGTTTTCTTACATTCAGAAGGCCCCAAGTTCAGTTGTGTAGTCATCTAGCAATTGTGACCCCCTTAAAGCTCATTTTTGGGCCAAA